CACACTTCAAGATAAGATATTAATTAATAGTGGTTATTCCACTTGTGTATAACAAAATTTAAAAAATGTGGTGTTTCCGTGTCATTTTTTTTTAAAAAAAAAAATCGATTTTAGTCAAGATTTTTTAAAGTTTTATCTAAAGAAAAATTTATACAATTCATATAAATTTGGATTCTTTTCAAATCGTAATTTGAATTCTTTCCAAACTGTGATAAGGTGTTGAAGTCAAATAAATATGAAAACTCATGTGCGTTTTTTGAAAAAATTTGTTTGATTGATTGTATTGGTGGGATTTGTTGAAAAAAAGTTATTCAATTATGAACTGCATTTTAAAATATAAAACAAAAATTATTTATAATGTTTTACCATAATTAATTGTATATGTTATCAATAGCAATAAATTAATTATCCTATACATTAAACATTTAATATGCACATCTCATAAATAAATATTAAGCATATTAAATAAATAACGACATTACTCCTATGAAATTTGTTATTTAATAATAATTTTATGAAGTAAAATATTTACTTGCTTTCCAACTTTTTGTTACTAGTTCACATAATGCAAAAAAATAAATTTAAATTAATGATTTACTTACAAAATCAAATCTAGTAGGTTTAGTATAATATTTCAAAAATCATATGCAAATTATAGATATTATAATACGGCCCGTGAAGGGCCTTTCAGTCTCTAGTTATGAGACTGCCTTATTATTATTATTATTATTATTATTATTATTATTATTATTATTATTATTATTATTATTATTATTATTATTATTATTATTAATGTAAAATATATTTTATATATTATATATACCAATAATATTGTGAATAAAATTAAAGACGATACTCCTTTGATTTTCCTACAATTATGGTAACAAATCTCTATGGCTAATATTATGACCATGTCTTTAGGAATTAAAGTTTACACAATTTTTTTCTCAAATAACAATTGTTTGAACTTGAATTCAAACTTACATTTAGCCGCCATTTTGCCAAACATGAATAATAACTTTGAAAATTTTAAGAGGGAATTTCAATATACTTCTCTCGGGTGAGAGCTGAATTTTCTTGGGTGAGAGCGAAATTATCTTGGGTGGGAGGTGAATTCCGACGTCTGTGGGCCAAATTCTTCGATTTGTGGTTTTCTTTTTTTTTTTTTTTTGTGTGTGGGGCTTTATGTGTGTTATGTCCAAATTAGGGCTCAAATACTCTGAATTCCTGCTGAGTTGAGAATTGTGTCCTTGCTATATGGAGGGTATTAAGCCGGAGATGGCCAAGGCAGGGGAGGGGGATGATGGGGTATTGCAAAAACATTGTAAGATGTCCCTATCGCTAAGGAATCGGGGGAGGCAGAAATAACGTGAGATGATATCAAAACCAGTGATGAGGAGTGTAACATGAGTTTGTTTGGGAAAGTGGTGGGGGATAGACATGCTGGTCTTCTAGGAGTCAAGAAAACCATGGGTGCTATTTGGAGGATGCAACACTCGATGGAGGTGAAAGAAATTAGTGAAATTTTTTTCCAGTTTATTTTCCTTTCCCAAGACGACAAGAAGAAAGTTGTTGCTGGCTATAACTGGATGTATAGGAATCAATATCTCATTCTGAAGGAATGGTTCCATGGGCTGCACAACAAGCATAGTTGTTTTGGTGAGATTACTCTATGGGTTCAGGTGTTAAATGTTCCTCTGAACTGGATGAGCACCGAGGTTGGTCTGAAAATGTGAAAGATCTTTAGCAAAGTTAAGAATGTGGTCATCTGTAAAGCTGGTGGTGATGTGGGGAGTTTCCTGAAGCTCCTGGTGGCAATAAACATAAACGAACCAATTCCCAGGTGCACTTCCATAAAGCTAGGGAATCAAAAAGTGATGGTGGTATTCAAGTATGAAAAGCTAGTAAATCTATGCTATTACTGTGGGATGATAAGGCACCTAGATAGGAGCTGCAGTAAGAGGTTGGAGATATTTAGAATAACTGTGTTGTGGATGGGCAGTTTAGGGAGTGGCTTCAGACTTCTGAGACTGTTGCTGAGGGAAGAAGTATGCATTCTGATAGCTCAAGAGAGAAAGCTACTCATCCTATCAACATTCCAGTTCAGGAATCTCTGGTCTCAGATAACAATCCACCTAATTTTGGCCAACAGGAGATGATTAGAAGTAATGAGGTTATTGAAGATACTCCACAAAAGAATGGGGAGAAGGGCAGCCCACGTGCTAATAAAGGGGAAATTCAAAAGTTTGTGGCCTATCTGAGCCTAGCACACCCTGTGATCCTAACCAAGTGAGGGTAATGCTAGGAGTAGAATGGAAATTGAATAGTTTGTGCAAGCCAAGGAGGTTATAGTGGATACAGAAGTAGGGGAGTTATGTAAATATGATCCGAGGAAAAGGACTGGGGCTGGGTGGAAAAGAAGAGACATTTCCAAGAGTAGACTTCAAAGAGTCCCTGTAGAGGCTAGTGGTAGTAAACAATCAGAAACTCTCAAGAGGAGCAGAGCTTTAGTTATTTATGAGGCCGGTGATAAAGATGCAGAAGCCCTCAATGAAAAAAGGAAGAAGAGTAATTGTGAACAACTTTTGGTGGAGAAGGCCAGCCATAAGTGGCCCCAAGGTGATTAATGAAAGCCATGGTGTGGAACTGTAGAGGACTGGGTGGGCCCTCTACAATTTTCCAAATCAAGGATTCCAGAAGAATCCACCAGCCAAATATTGTGTTTTTAATCTAAAACTAAGAAGTCTGTGAAGTTTACTAAAACTGTGTGTAGGAAGCTTGGCTATCAAGATAGATGTCATTTGGAGAGTCTAATTGGTACCAG